TAAGCTAAACTTCGATCCCCCATGGGAAACCTCAGGAAAACCCAAGGCAAACTGTGAAGCAATCGAGGAACACCGAGCCCCTCCCCAACGAGAAGGGTTCCTTCTTCAGCGCCCCGACTGTAGGTCACCTGCCTTCGCGCATCGCGCACCGCGGTGCGCGACTCGCGGTTCTAGCCCCCGCGCCGCCGCCCTGGAGAAGGGCGCCTCGCCAACCCAAGCCGCGAGTTGCGAAGCGCGATTCTCTCTGCACCCCTATGTGTGACCTGGCCAACAGCACACGTCGTCCAAAACATCACCTGGCCGACCCGAACGTGGGACCCGGGAGCCCATCCGGAAGGGAAGGGCTCCTGCGGCGCGCCGAAGCACCCAGGAAGTCAGGCTTCCGCGGAAGAAAAAAAAATCCCCCGAGCTGGCCATCGCTCGGACGTCCACTCCATGCGTTTTTTTGGTTTCGTGCGTGTTTTTTTCGCCAAATGATCAAGGATGCTCCTCGATGGTCCTCGCCGAAGGAAAAATGCACACGTCCGAGCGATGCCAAGCGAACTCTCAGCCGCGAAGGTGCCCGCACGCGGGGGCGCAACCAGAGGAGGAAAAGCGCTGGAGCCCGGACTGCAAGTGCAGTGCAGCGCAACACTCTAACAAAAATCATTGTGGTAAAATTGTGCTAGCAATTGCGCTGAAGTAGCTTGTTCTGGGGTTTCAAGCAAGGCTGCACCGGAACCGCGTTCTACTGTTCTGTTCCGTTCTGCTGCTGAACATGTTCAGCTTTGTTCGGGTCGTTCTGTTTTCGTTATGGTGTTTCGAACATGTCCGAACAACGTTTTAAGTCAGAACAAAACAGAATGCGCCACGAGCGCTCGAACAACACAAACAACAAGAGCACTCGCGAGTGAACAACAAAAAGCGCAACAAAACGCAACGCCAGCCTGTCGTCAACAAAACGCGCAACAAAACACGAGGGCGCCGAAGCGAAAGGGGGCGAACATGAAGGCGCCAAATCAAAAGGGCGCCGAAACAAAACGAAACAAAACAAAGCAGAAGCGAAAGAGGCGGGGGAAAACGAAAGGGAAGGCGGGGGACAGCGAAGACGGACAGGGAAAGGAAGGGTAAAGGCAAAAGGGAGGGCGGGGTGATAGCGAACATGGTTTAACTACGAAAAAAAGGGAGAATGCAGAAACAAACAACGAATTGCGCAGAGAACAACTCAAGGGCGCCAGGAAAAAAAAGAAGTGCGCCGCAGAAAGCGAAGGCCGCCGAAAAAAGAAAAGGGCGTCAGATAAAACAAGCACTAAAACCGCAGTAACAAAGCGAAGGCCGCCGAAACCAAGCGAAGGCGCCGAACAAAAACGAAGGACTATGAACAAAATGAAAGGGTGAGAAACAAAAAGCCAGGGACGATGCGAAGGCCACCGAACAAAGAAAACAAAACAACAAACGAAGGCCACCGAAAAAAGCAAAGGGTGCCGAACAAAAAACGAAACCCGCCGAGCAAAGCGACGGCCACCGAAAAAAGCGACGGGCGCCGAGAAAAGCGAAGGCCGCCGAGAAAAGCGAAGGCCACCGAGAAGAGTGAAGGCCGCCGAGAAAGGCGAAGGCCGCAGAAAAAAGCGAAGGCCGCCGGCCTTTTCCGGAACCGAAAGTTCGAGCCTTCCGCCCCAAGGAGCCCCAAGGAGGCTCCAAGAGACCCCAAGAGGCCCCCGAGAGGCCCCCAAGAGGCGCCCAAGAGGCCCCCAAGAGGTCCCCAAGAGGCTCCCGAGAGGCCCCCAAGAGGCCCCAAAACAGCCCGCAAGAGGCCCCAAAACCGCCTCCAGGAGGCCCCCGAGAGGCCTCCCGTCTCCCATGAGATTCCAACTAACATCCAGGCTTATGACCCAGAGCCCAGGCACGGGGGCGTGACTTGCCGTAGGCAGCTGGATACTCGATCCTCCCTGCTCCGTGCCCCTGGAGGCCCCCAGGGGCCCCCAAAAGCCGAGACTGTCCCAAGCCTCGATCTTGCAGGAGGATTGACCTGACCGTTCGCTCCCTCCGGCGCGCCGCGCCGCGAGCGGGCGGCCCATCCGCTCTCTGATGGGCCGTTCTGGGGCCGTCTTCTGGTGCGGCCAGTGCTTTTATGGATGGCTGCTGGCACGTGCGAGGAAGATGCTGCGCGACGTGCCCGCCCCATGGCGGCGGCACCGGCGGAGAGAGGTTGCCAGGCCTGCACAGGGGGCAGAGCATCTCGCTGGGACAGGTTAGATGTCATGCCCTCAGCGTCGGGCCAGTCCACGTTTGCACCCAATTAGGGCGGCGCCGAGGGACTGCGTACCGAAAAAGGCAGGTGGCCATGACTCGCGTTCTTCACGAACTGCTCGCGCGGGAAGGACAGCGGATCAGGAGAGCAGCCAGGGCTCGGCAGGGATTGGCTGCTACTTGGGGTCTGCTACCTTCCCCGCCGTGCCCAGCTTCACTGGGACCGCGGGAGCTCCCACCGGCTGTCCGACCACGGCTGAGGGCCGCATCGCCCCCGGGGGGGCCCGTCCAGGTCGCCGTAAGTCCTCGCAAACGGGCTTGAGCAGGTTTCCATCACCCAATCGGAAGCAGCACTTGGTATGAACATTGGTGATCTCGTCCACCTGCCTGCCCTCCTGCACGGCCATGCAGAAGGGGAACCACCAATAGCAGCAGAAGTCCTTCGTCCACCGACTCTCGGGCGCCGGGTCCCCGAGTGCCTCGCGGAGCTTCATTCTCTGGCCAGCGAGCCAGGCCGCCAGCAACATATGCGAAAAGAATGCGCCCGTGCCCATCAGACCATCGGACCAGTTGTCGTCAGACCAGCCGTCCCAACTGACCATCATGGGCATGAGTATCTTCCACACCACGGCTATGAGCTGGCCGGACAACCAGACTGCCACGACAGCGTGGACGTACGCAAAATAGCCGGGCCCGCCGATGTTCGCCGCCGTGTAGGTATCGCCGAGCCTGGCACCGAGACAGAGGCAGGCGTACCAGCAATAGACGTGGTCCTGCAAGCAGCAGTCGCCGCAGCAGGTGTACCTCCACACGCCACCACTCCATGCGATCGCGAGGCTGAGTTGGGATTGCCCTACCCAGCCCGGCCAGGGGAGGAGGGCCCCCGCTTGTCGACGATTCCCGCGTTTTGTAGAGGAGGCACCGACATAAGTTAGGACGATGCTGATGATCACAGCCAGTATCCATTGGAATTCACTGGACTGGGGATTCGACCAGGGAGCGTCTGCGTCTTCCTGCTTGGAAAGGCGGCGCGAGTCCACATGGAGCGTGCCATTGAGATACGGCCACGCCGCCCATTCGGGTGCCCCCGCGGAGAGCACCTCCAATTGTGCCTGGCCTGACTCCAGTAGCACGCCCTTCAGAGCCTCCAGCACCGCGGCGTCGAAGTGACCCCCCACGGACCAATGGAGCGCATGGAAGAGAAGCATCGCGGGGTGTCCCAGCAGTGACACGATCAACAGAAGCATCGCGAGTCTGAAGCACTCGATGCAGTCTGCCCACGCAGCCGATGAACAAAATCAAACGACGCTGTCCTTGAGCCAAAACGGCTATACGAATCGTCTTGGGGCCGTCGAGGTGCCGCCATGGAGGCCAGCAAGGAGCCTACGAGGCAATGTTGGGACCACCTTGGGTCCATCTGGGGACACCTAGGGCCGTCTTGGGGCGTCTTGAAGGCCCACTGGGCCCTGTAAGAGGCCTCTCCTACGAGGACTTGATTTTCCCGAGTCTCTGGCTCCCGAAACTCTCGACCCCTAGCCCAGGAAACGCTGTACAGTGTGAGTCCTGCTCCACAGCCAAAGGGCCCAGAAGCGCCCCTGGACACCGAAAACTGGGGAGAAGGCTCCAACGCGATTCTTTCCGAGTCGCTGAAGTCTGGATCCGCTCCGCTTCAAAGTCGGCCTCTGCGGACCTCATGGGGATCGCTCCGACCAGAATATTTCGAGGCGGATCCCGCCCTGCGTCGAGGGCACCCCAGGAGGCCCCAAGGGGCACAGCAAAACATTCAGCAAAACTGAATCCGCCACCGTGGTCCCTGGCACGTTGAGGGGTGGCAGAATGCCAAGTGCTGTCTGGTAGGGTGTTGCAATCTTCTACGTAATAGGACCTTCCCTTCTCTGGGCCGCACCTCGTTGCGCGCACCGGCCATACTCCCAGGGGGTCCCTGGGCGGCCATGGCGCCTCCCTGGGGCTCCCCAAGGCTTCCATGACGGCCCAGGAGGCCCCCCCAAGACGGTCCAAGAGGACCCCGAGTCGCCGAACGATCGCTCGAAGACGGCCGAGATGGCTTCAAAATGGCGCATGAAGCTTCCAAGGTGTCCCTGGAGGCCTCCAAGAGGTCTTCCAGGAGGGCCCCCGAAGGCAAAACATCATTGACGTTCCTTGCGTTCTGGGAGGATTGGGGCGTTCTCGCCTTTTCGGCTTTCCGACGCTCCAAGCCGGCCCGAGAGGCCCCCAAGACCACTCCAAAACGGCCCAAGAGGCCTCCAAGAGGGCCCCAAGACGGCCTAAGAGCGCCCCAAGACGGCCCAAGAGGGCCCCGCCTCAAAAGGGGACCCCAGAGAGGGGACACGAACCGAAAGTCCGAGCCTTCCGCCCCAAGGGGCCCCCAGGAGGCGCCCAAGAGGCCCCCAGAGGCCCCCAAGAGGCCCCCAAGAGGCCCCAAGAGGCCCCCAAGAGGCCCAAAAATGGGCTGCAAGAGGCCTCAAAACTGCCTCCAAGAGGCCTGCCATGAGATTCCAACGAACATCCACTAGGCTTATAACCCAGAGCCCAGGCACGGGAGCGGGACTTGCCGTAGGCAGCTGGATACTCGATCCTCCCTGCTCCGTGCCTCTGGAGGCCCCCAGGGGCCCCCAAAGGCCCGAGACTGTCCCAAGCCTCGATCTTGCAGGAGGATTGACCTGACCGTTCGCTCCCTCCGTCGCGCCGCGCCGGCGAGCGGTCGGCCCATCCCGCTCTCTGATTGGCCGTTCTGGGCCGTCTTCTGGTGCGGCCAGTGCTTTTATGGTGGCTGCGGCACGTGCGAGGAGATGCTGCTCACGTGCCCGCCCCATGGCGGCGGCGGCCGGCCACCGTGGCGGAGAGTAGGTTGCCTAGGCCTGCACAGGGGGGCAGAGCCTCTCGCTGGGACAGGTTGGATGTCATGCCCTCAGCGTCGGGCCAGTCCACGCTTCCAACCCAATTAGGGGCGGCGCCGAGGGGACTTGCGTACCGGAAAAAGGCAGGTGGCCATGACTCGCGTTCTTCACGAACTGCTCGCGCGGGAAGGACAGCGGATCAGGAGAGCAGCCAGGGCTCGGCAGGGATTGGCTGCTACTTGGGGTCTGCTACCTTCCCCGCCGTGCCCAGCTTCACAGGGACCGCGGGAGCTCCCACCGGCTGTCCGACCACGGCTGAGGGCCGCATCGGCCCCCGGTGGGGCCCGTCATGGCAGTAAGTCCTCCTGCACACGGGCTTGAGCAGGTTTCCATCACCCAATCGTAGCAGCACTTGTAATGAACATTGGTGAGCTCGTCCCCTGCCTGCCTCCTGCACGGCCATGCAGACGGGGAACCCACCAATCGCAGCAGAATCTTCTTTCCACCGACTCTCGGGCGCCGGTCCCCGAGTGCCTCGCGGAGCTATCATTTCTCTTGGCCAGCGAGCCATGCCTCCAGCAACATATGCGAACAGAATGCGCCCGTGCATCAGACCATCGGACCAGTTGTCGTCAACAGCCGTCCCCAAGTGACCAATCATGTTCATGAAAAAATGAAAATGAAAATGAAAAAAAAAAGAAAAAAAAAAAAAAACAAAAAGAGAGTATCTTCCACACCACGGCTATGAGCTGGCCGGACAACCAGACTGCCACGACGGCGTGGACGTACGCAAAATAGCCGGGCCCGCCGATGTTCGCCGCCGTGTAGGTGTCGCCGAGCCTGGCACCGAGACAGAGGCAGGCGTACCAGCAATAGACGTGGTCCTGCAAGCAGCAGTCGCCGCAGCAGGTGTACCTCCACACGCCACCACTCCATGCGATCGCGAGGCTGAGTTGGGGATTGCCCTCCCAGCCCTGCCAGGGCCCCCGCTTGTCGACGATCCCGCGTTTGTAGAGGAAGGCACCGACATACGTTAGAACGATGCTGATGATCACAGCCAGTATCCATTGGAATTCACTGGACTGGGGATTCGACCAGGGAGCGTCTGCGTCTTCCTGCCGGGAAAGGCGGCGCGAGTCCGCATGGAGCGTGCCATTGAGATACGACCACGCCGCCCATTCGGGTGCCCCCGCAGAGAGCACCTCGAGTTGTGCCTGGCCTGACTCCGGTAGCACGCCCTTCAGAGCCTCCAGCACCGCGGCGTCGAAGTGACCGCCCACGGACCAATGGAGCGCATGGAAGAGAAGCATCGCGGGGTGTCCCAGCAGAGACACGATCAACAGAAGCATCGCGAGTCTGAAGCACTCGATGCAGTCTGCCCACGCAGCCGATGAACAAAATCAAACGACGCCGTCCTTGAGCCAAAACGGCTATACGAATCGTCTTGGGGCCGTCTTGGAGCCGTCGAGATGCCGCCATGTAGGCCAGCAAGGAGCCTACGAGGCAATGTTGGGACCACCTTGGGTCCATCTGGGGGCACCTAGGGCCGTCTTGGGGCGTCTTGAAGGCCTACTGAGCCCTGTAAGAGGCCTCTCCTCTTAGGGCTTGATTTTCCCGAATCATTGGCTCCCGAAACTCTCGACCCCTAGCCCAGGAAGCGCTCTACAATGTGAGTCCTGTTCCACAGCCAAAGGGCCTGGAAGCGCCCCTGGGGCCGAAAATTGGAGGAAAAACTCTAGCGCGATTCTTTCTGAGTCGCTGGAAGTCTGGATCCGCTCCACTTCAAAGTCGGCCTCTGCGGACCTCATGGGGATCGCTCCGACCATAATATTTCGAGGCGGATCCCGCCCTGCGTCGAGGGCACCCCAGGAGGCCCCAAGGGGCACAGCAAAACATTCAGCAAAACTGAATACGCAATCCGCACCGTGGGGGCCCTAGCACGTTGAGGTGTGGCAGAGATGCCACGTGCTGTCTGTAGTGTTTCTGCATCTTCTACGTAAAGGGACTTTCCCATTCTCCGGCCGCACCCTCGTTGCGCGCACCGGCCATACTCCCAGGGGGTCCCTGGGCGGCCATGGCGCCTCCCTGGGGCCCCCCAAAGCTTCCATGACGGCCCGAGAGGCCCCCAAGAGGGCCCCAAGACGGCCTAAGAGCGCCCCAAGACGGCCCAAGAGAGCCCCGCCCCAAAAGGGGACCCCAGAGAGGGAACACGAACCGAAAGTCCGAGCCTTCCGCCCCAAGGGACCCCCAGGAGGCGCCCAAGAGGCGCCCAAGAGGCCCCCAGAGGCCCCCAAGAGGCCCCCAAGAGGCCCCAAGAGGCCCCCAAGAGGCCCAAAAATGGGCTGCAAGAGGCCTCAAAACTGCCTCCAAGAGGCCTGCCATGAGATTCCAACGAACATCCACTAGGCTTCTTACCCAGAACCCAGGCACGAGGGCGGGACTTGCCGTAGGCAGCTGGATACTCGATCCTCCCTGCTCCGTGCCTCTGGAGGCCCCCAGGGGCCCCCAAAGGCCCGAGACTGTCCCAAGCCTCGATCTTGCAGGAGGATTGACCTGACCGTTCGCTCCCTCCCGCGCGCTCGCGCCGCGAGCGGGCGCCCATCCGCCTCTGATCCCCGCGGCGGGGCCCGTCTTCTGGTGCGGTCGAAGTGCTTTTTATGGATGGCTGCTGCACGTGCGAGGAAGATGCTGCGCGACGTGCCCGCCCCTGGCTGCGGCCACCGCGGAGAGAGGTTGCCAGCCTAGCTCGAGGGAAGAGATCTCGCTGGGACAGGTTAGATGTCATGCCCTCAGCGGCGTCGGGCCAGTCCACGCTCCCACCTAATTAGGGTGGCGCCGAGGGACTACGCACCGAAAAAGGCAGGTGGCCATGACTCGCGTTCTTTCCTAACTACTCGCGCGGGAAGG